ATATATTGAGTTAGGTATTTTAAATAAATTACTTATAAAAACTTAGTTTTCTTAATATGCAACAACTGCAAAATGACTATATAATAAATATATAGTTGCTACCTCATTTAATAGTAGTTTAATCATAGCCTAATAAGTACTATGCAATTACTGTATAGTAAAAAAATAAAGTTTCTATAAAGTAATTAATAAAAAATACTGTAAATTAAAAAAGTATAGAGAATATAATATGAAAATTAAAATTAAAAAAGTATTAAATATTAGAATAGAACCCCTGAATATATCATAGTTTTATTAGAGAACCTTTCGTGAACAGAAGTTACTTCTGTACAAACCAATTTTACAAATCTATATATTAAATTTCAGATCTTATATTTATTCATATATTGAACGTTTTTATTATAAATTATGTTTCTGTATACCTAACCTTTTGAAGATTCAATTTCTGTATAAGGAACTTTACAAAAATATTTTTTAGAAATATAGTAGACTTTTTTTTAAAAATAATAAAAAAAGAACTTTTATTTTTTGAAGTAGATTTCTTTTTTACCTTTACCTCTATCTTATCCTCTACCTTTTAGAGTTAGAGTTAGAGTTAGAGTTAGTTTAAGTGTTAATATTAAAATTAGTGTTAGAGTTAGTATTAAAGTTAGTGTTAGTGTAAGAGTTAGAGTTAGTGTTAGTGTTAGTGTTAATATTAGTATTAGTTTTAGTGTAAGGTAAAATAAGGTATAATAATGGCTGGTCGTTAGCATTACACGAATTTCCTAAAAAGGATTTTTTTTTGTCGCTCAAAGGCCCAGAAATCCGGTTCACACTAATAAAATCACACCAAAATTATTTTTTTTTTTTACCGTGATACAGATTCTTCTTTATTATAAAAAAATATAAGAAAATTTACACATGAATTACATGAATTGAATTGAATATGAATCTATCTATTGATATGATCATGATTTTATCACTTGAATCATTAAATATAATACAAAGTCCACATCACGAGTCGTACTCTTTCCTATTCACTTAATTCAATGTAAGAGTTAAAAATCAGGAACTTTATTATGCTTTTTACATTCTAGGGGTTCAAAAAACCAAAATGTCGAGATATTCATTCTATGGACGCTAGAAGTTGCTGAAGTATCATTGAACCTTTTCGATTTTCAATCCAACAGGTGAATTTGATCAATTTCGGATTTTTTCGGATTTTTAAGGATCATATTTAATTTTTTTTTTGATGATAACGGGACGGAATCCTTGCTCAATGGAGGAATATAATTTGCCAAACAAAAAAAAAAGTAAATTTTGAAATTTCGTACCGAGATTTTCCATTATTTACTTCGTTCAAAAATTTTTCTAATCTAAATCTAAGCTTACTGCACTGCGTAATCTTTAAGCGATACCTTTATTTGCTGTCTAGTGTATTGATCCGGTTCACAGTCCGTTGCGAATTATGGTTTAGAAATGTTTTTATATCAAAAATCATTTCCGTTTCTAGGGGTTAGTTCACATTCATGTTGATGATAAAAAAAATAATAATTTTTTTTTGAACCATGATATTTCCCGTATCTCTTGGGCTTATAAAACAAAAAAATAAATATAAAATATTAATTCGGAAATGAGTTCGATCATTCTTACTTTTCCTTTTAGTTGGAATTTCCAATAATGAAAATAATCGATTAACTTGTTGAATCCGATTAATTGATGATTTGTCAATCTACCCCATAAACGAAGCTATGCCGCGTCCAGGAGAAACATTTATATCTGGCCAAGTTTCACGCATTTATAATTCTGAACGGTTATTTGATGAATGCTCCCTATTATAAACAAATACTACACGAAGTATTTAAATGAAATTATTAATAAACGCCAATAACACGTTATTAGACGTTATACTTAAACAAGGTTTTTCTTTCAACTTTAAATAAATCAACCTTGATTCGTGTTTCGAGAAGTCGTAGTAGTTACTTTCGTTTTTGATACGTCGGATCTAAATAGGAAAAGAAATTATCAAAAAATTGTTGGATTTTCGTCTTTTTAATTTTTTTTTCTTTTGACATAAGCTTTAATAAATGACTTATTATATAATGTTCTCAATTAAAGTTTAAAAAAAGTAAAGAAAATGTGATAATCCAAAAAAAAATGGTTCAAAGAATATTAGTACTAATCATTTCTCAATTGATGATAAAAGAAGAGCCATCCTACCGTTTATTTTATGTCTTTTCGGACCTGTAGAATATAATTTAATAAAGGAAAGAAGGAGAATATTGGAAAAGTGAAGGACTGAAAATGAAAATAAAAACCACTAATGTCAACAATGGTTTGTTCAAAGGTTATGTTTGCTTCCTCAAAGAAATTCGTGTGAAAAGAGACCAACTACTCGAAGAAAACTTTCACGTGTAAGGTAAACACTTCTAAAAGGATGGATAGACAATACAAGTACTAAGCCGTCGCTCTTAGCTTAATACAAAGGATCCCACCAGAAAATTGCTTCTGCTTTTGAAGTCAAAACCTTTTACTAACAACATCATTAATCAAAAGCGGTTAAAGGGATGTGTAACAGTTAGAACCTAAAGGGAAACTAACTATACGATTGCCCTTTAGCATCCGCCTAGACGTCAATAAAGGAGAAATAAATAATAATTTACTTCCCATAAATAATTGCCAAACTACAAGTATCCGTCACTAAAGAGTCTTTCAATATAAATGTGGTCCCCACACCCCAATATTCTGGACCGTGAAAAGTTGAACATTAAGAAATCCACTATCTGTCTGCCTATTATAATGATAAAGAAAAAAAAATAATGTTAAATTAATAAATAAGTATTTTTGAAAGAGTAAGGAATTCGTGCTTAGGGCGGTTGGGAGTCAGATCTTAAGAGTCAAAGTATTAAAGGAACGACCTCGTAGAGATAACTTCTTATCAATACGACATAGCACTGGGGTAATACTTGTCTATAGAAATGAACATCCCGGGTATTCGAACCTGTAGGTCAACAATATTTCGCGAATATTGTTGAGCTCGTAACCAGAATGGAAAACCTCTACTAATTCAACAAATACCTTGCCAAAGAGCGAATAGACATTGGAATAACGCGTGCATTATTCCGCCGGTACACCTATTAGAATGGTAAAAAAATAATAATGTTAATCTAAGTATTATTGAAGAGTAAGGAATTCGTGCTAAGGGCGGTTGGGAGTCAGATCTTAAGAGTCAAAGTATTAAAGGAACGACCTCGTAGAGATAATTTCTTGTCAATACGATATAGCACTGGGGTAATACTTGTCTATAGAAATGAACTTCCCGGGTATATCGAACCGGTAGGTCAAGCAACATTTCGCGAATATTGTTGAGCTCGTAACCAGAATGGAAAACCACTACTAATACAATAAATACCTTGTCAAAAAACACGAAAGTGTGGAAAAGACGCGTTTGAAAAAGTTTTAGCAAAAATAGAAAAATTGTTTGGAATTTGAGCATTATTTTAGGTATGAGGAGGAGTATGAAGGGGGAAAATGTGTTTAAAAGTTTGACTTTTCTGTTGCTTTATAATAAAAAAAAAGATGTAAGATCAGTGTATCAGCGTAATATTTTAGTCATTACTAAAAATAGTAAAAATAGCTAATAAAAAATTTAACCACTTCTGACTGCAGAATGATCTCGTGTTAATGAGTCATCAATGAGAGATTCATGGAAAACTGAGGTAGACAGTTATATAAATTTCTGATCGTTAAAAAAAGAAAATAAGAGGTAAACAAGTAGATAAAAATTCTTTAACTCTACATTTTTCCCATTGATTTATTTATTCTATCTTTTGATCTGAGCTAAATATTTTCTTCCAAGAATTGCGGTTGTCGAGCATCAAATTTTGATGACATTTGACGTTTATTAATTTTTACTTATTAGGAAATGTTACCTTTTTTTTTTTATGTAAAAGAAAAAAAAACCTGTTTAAACCTGGATCAGGAGAAAATTTCGATTTTTTTCCATTCTTTCATTCTTTTTTAAAAGGATAATAAAAACTATAAGCTTTGAACATATCATAGTTTCTTTCGAACTTTTTCAGATATCACTGACGTACAGATTTTCCGCATAAATACGCATAAATCAGAAAACGTGCATATGTTGATCGTGTGAAATGAAACATGAACATGTTAAATAAATTAAATCTTTTTTATTGTATATTAGTTTTACAATAAGTAATATATAATTTCTGTCTTTATTATAATAGAAAATATTGCAGGATAATGAGTTTATTACAATTATAAAAATCAAAATCGCAAAAAAAAAAATCACCGTTCCACCGGTTCTTTGAACGAACCGGCTCGAAACCAGTCAAGCCGCCCGGAACCGAACGATAGAACCGTCCCATCCCTGGTCACGGTTAGAATTAGCTTAGGTTTAGCGTTAGGTTTAGGGCTAGTTAGGTAGTTAGGGTTTGATGTTAGCATATTATTGGTCAAATGTCACATGTCCGAGGATTTTTGATGGTGTGTCTGGACGTTTGTGACATTTATAATTGTGACAATTAACATTTTTCACACAAAAAAATCCCCCGGAAAGAAAATAGTATCCTCTTTCTGGATGAATGTGAAAGATGATTGCGAGCTTTTCTCAGAGAATATACTTGGACGAACGGCTGGGGATGTGAAGCGATTTGACAAATTTGCTACCCCTTAACTACTCCTAATTCTACCCTAATCCTAATCCTAATGTTAATCCAAACCCTAACTCTAATACTAATACTAACCCTAATAATAAATACCCGGCAAAATAAAATCCGGCTACCATTTTATCGTCAGAAAATTACCCGATTACATAACGTGAGAAATTCACAAGATTTACGACGCCTAAACTCATACCATGACAAATTAAGTAATCGAGTTCCACTTTCGGAGATAAAAAAAAAAATATATAAATTAAGATTTAAAAAAATATCATGAGCGATTAACCATCCAAAGCTTTCGACCTAATAAAAACCAAAACTAAACATCAGTTAAAAATGACTTTATTAACGTCGTCAATCATTGTTTCGACTAATGAACTTTTCAAGTTCATCCTCTTAATCTTAACTCTTTACACCGCTCGTTTCTATTTTCGTTATTTTACACGAAAAAATAAGGTCCCGGGACCACTTCCGTTCCCCTTCTTTGGTACTATGCCTTACTCTTACATTGTAGGTCAATATAGATTTCTTAACTATTGTTATGAAAAATATGGAACATTATTTGAGATATACGTTGGAGACGATCTGAATACCAATCGAGAAATTTATATATGTAAACCAGAGTTGCTTGAAAAAATCTTCTCTAGCTCCACAAAAAGTAATTTTTTATTACGAAGTCCAAATAATGAAGGAATGAACGAATTTGGATTTGGTAAAAGTGGTATGGTTGTGAACAGTGATTTAAGTAGTTGGAGAAGGAACAGAATGTTATCCGTACCCTTGCTCATGAATGCAGGATTTTTAAAAACTCAAGTGCATGTAATACAAGAATTGTTTCAGGAAATGGAAAATTATTGGAAATTGTTAAATGATAAGAATGATGAGAAGATCATTTTGGATTTTACTAGTTGGATGCATAGGTTTGCCTTGGATGTTGTTATTACTTCGTCATTGGGTAGATCTTCTTACGCGTTAAAATCTTTTTATAACACTTTTACCCAAAGTGATGGTACGATCGAAAAGAACGAAAATACAAGTTCCATCGAATATGATTCAAGTGATCTACTTATTAGGCAGGTCAAATCATTCTTCAAAGCGTTGCGATTCGTTAAACATCCGTCTTGGTTACGTCACACATTCCTCATTTACTACAATAATTTTTATTTGAACGAAATAAAGTCGTTAAACAATAGTATAGAGAATTTTATTAAATTACGTCGCGAAGAAATTCTGTTGGAAATAAAAAATGGAAAAAATGTTCAAGAGGATAGGCGAGATATAATGTCTTTATTTCTATTGAAGTATTCGACGATTAAAAATCAAGATTATGTTGACAGAAAAATGACGAAGCGACATACTGAGGAAAATTTTGAAGTTGTAACTGATGAAGTGATTAGATCGAACTTGATTGAAATCTTTATTGGTGGAAATGAGACGGTACGCAATTATATGCAAGCAAGCTTATTATTTAAAAAGAAAAAAAAATTTTATAAGTGCGCGTATGTTGACAGACTTTTAATTTTTTTTTTATTCGTAGGTTTCAAGTTCAATTGGTTTCATTGTATATTATTTGTGTAAGTACCCCCATGTGAAAAATCGGCTAATTGATGAAATCGACATGATTCTCTCGTCAAACATCCTTCGTGAAATTACTTTTGAAGATATTGAAAAATTCGAATACGCTGAAGCCTTAATTAAAGAAGTGAATAGATTGACGCCGATATCGCCTTTAATTGCCCGTAGTAATGTGGTAGAAGACGAAATGGGCGAATATACATTTGAAGCGGGCACAAAATTTTATGCTTTCTTGATTCAAATTTATAAGAATCCTGAATATTTTACGAATCCTGAAGAATTTAATCCAGACCGATTTTTGAAAGGGTCTGAAAAAATTTCCCGTTTTAACACCCTTTTACAATTTGGTTCTGGATTGCGTATGTGCCCAGGTAGACAAAGCGCCATGACAGTCATAAAAACATTTTTGATGTGTTTCTTTAGAAAGTATGATGTTGAATTTGCGGACGAAAACCAAGAATTAAAAATATCGTTTGATGTTTCATTTCATTGTGAACCATATAAAATTGCTATTAAACAGAGATAGCTAGTATATGTGACATTTGTTTTAAATGTATTATTCATTTATATCAATAAGATGTTTTTTCTTCGATTTTAATTTACCTAGTCTACATCTAATAAAAGATCTTGAGGCCTTAAAAGTTTTCTAATATATCTTCTTGGAAGGTCCGATTAGAAGAGAAATGTTATTTATGAATCTTACTTGAAAGTGTGTCATGTTAAGCGTTGTTTTCAGAAATTTCTCATTATAAAAGTTTGCTTTTTGCAGAACTTTCGGATACAGTATATATATTTTTTTTTATCTTCCTGGATCCATTTCAGGTTGGATCGCTGCGGGCCGCATCGATTGTTTTCGGAGTTGGCTGGTTGCAAAGCTATGTAATTTAAGTTTCTGTTTTTTTTTCCTATTCGGATCGTCGCTTCGGGCCGTATTTTTGTTTTTTCCGTTATCATTGTAAAGCAATGTTCTAAATGGCGGTGTGTTGGCAACGGTGAGTTACACCCTAAATATTTATTAATTTTTTTATGATTCTTCGGCATATCGATATTATTGAATATGATTGGATCACTCACAATTTTTTTCATAAGGAATGAACTTGTAAATTTCTTTTTTTTTTTATAAAATTTTTGAAATTACTTGCATATTTATATATATAATACAGTTTTTTAAAAAGCAATGTCCAAATTAAATGATAAAGGAAATTGTGACACGATTTATTATTTGACTTCATAAAAATTGAAATTCTGTTTTATTTTTTACTGTATACTCTAGCTATCAACTTTTTGACGTTTAAAAATTTTACAACATTATTATCGTTTTTAGAAATAAGTAAGTTCGAAAAATTAAATTAAATTAAGATGTTTTTTCTTGATAAGCCAATCAACATTTGATGCGTCGTCATCGCGTAATTAATAAATTGTTTTATGACGCTTTTTATAAAAAATAGATAATTAGGAACATTTACGTGTCAAGTCATGGATTTCTATTATAAATACTCTCTCAACTCAAGAAAGTTTCAACTTATTTTCCTTACCCACCCCCTTTCTTACAAAAACATCGTTTTTTCCTTACCTACCCTTTATTACAAAAAAATAAACAGATTTTTTTTACTTACAACTTCGCGTTTTTATATAATAAATATACTTTCTTTTCTTTTCAAAATTTAAAAGTGTTTGGACGTCTCTTATTTATATAAAACGAAGCGGAAGCTTTAAGAAATATGTCATGGTGTCTCAATTCCTCGGTTAGTATGGTTTATTGCACCACTTGTCTTTTCTGGGACCATACTAATATAAAAAAAAACTTCTCCATTTCGAAACTCTCGGTTCTATTCGGACTGTGTTGTGAGGTCTACTGATTCTGCAAGAGTTTTCGGTTATGCATGTACCTTCCTTACGACTAATACATTTTTTTTATTTGCTGGAATTACCTAAATATTAAATCATCAAATGATCAATTTATCTTTTTGATTACTTTTTCATAAAATGTCTCTAGCCGTAGTAGAGACCTATCCCTAGTGCAAAAAAGAGCATGTACACCTAGGATTGTTTGCAAACTTGCTAAATATGAGCCAAATATGTTCGATATTTATATCTTCTACAACATTTTAGTTCAGAAAACATGATATGGATGAATTTCAATATTGATTCAGATAAAAACGATGTAATAATAATACCTATATTGAAGGTAAGAGCTTTATTGTGTTAACAATACCTTTATTGAACCAAAACTTATCATACAAGTCTTTTGGGCAATAGTAACTTGCGAGATTCACACTAAGTCGTTTGTAGCTTATTTATTATTTTAAAAGTCCTTAATTTTGACGAATTTCTCGAGTTATTATTGTATGTGCATATTATATGAAAGTATTTGATTGATGATTTGCTTTAACAATTTTCCAATAATTATCACACTACACTTTTCACCTCAGGATTGAGCCACCACGCAGATTATTCGTTAATAACGATCAAAATGTGTAGGACAAACCATAATTTGTAATTTACAAAAAGAAAGAATGGCGATAATTGTGAGATTCTTGAGAGAAGTATTCAAGGGTATGACCATATTTGTCGTTCACGTTATCTCCATCTATGTTACGCTTTACAAAACTGGTTTTAATCTCGCTGAACCGGGCGGCAAATTTGAAGTATTGATGGTATTAGTCAAACTTTATGAATCGTAATAAAAAAAAAAAAATGATTGTAATAATTATTGTGAGCACTTTTCATTCGTACGATTATTATAATAAAAAATTTCTATTTTTTTCTATTACAATGCATCATCGCATTTAGTTAATTATAAAGTCAAGTGATACTGACACACCAGTAATTATTCAACACAAATAAACCCACCAACAATTATAAAATAACCTTTAAAAACCTGTATTATATAATTTTTTGCCGAAAAAAAAATTGTGAATCGCATACAAGCGTTGATTAACTTTATGAACGACACAATTTTCAACACACATAATATTTTCTTGTAAATTTCTTTTTTTTTTTATAAAATTTTTGAAATTACTTGCATATTTATATATATAATACAGTTTTTTAAAA